CACAAAGAGGGACGTAATAGCCTTGGGAGGTGAACTGGAGTCTGAATACTCATGAATTTAATGGATAAAGAAGATGCTTTCACGGTCAATCTCCACACGGAGCAGCTACGAGATCTGACGCGAATCGTCGATGAGAGGGAAATTTGTCCGCACTTTCTGCTTCAGCATGACAGTGCAGCCCACTCCCTGTAAAAAAAATGGTCGAGCCGAACTTTACCCGTTATATGGACGAGAAAAGCTTCACGATTCGAGTCCTAGTCAAAATTGAGATGATGTTCAACGTAGTGTTGCGCCGGCTTGTACTGTGAAGCGATGGTATTCGTAAGTGCTCAAAGTAGCAAAAAAAACCGCAATAACGATGCTTCATACTATTGATCTCATGCTCCCCTAGAAAAGAAGCTCAGTTTCAATTGGTACGGTTTTTCCACCAACCAGTAATAGTTAGATATACTTATCAGCTTACATTTCATTTCATTATCATGTATTTTATATAGGTCTTCTCCGGTTCTTCACATCGTGACTTGTCACAACGTATTTGTGAACGTCTTCAACTGGAGGTTTCGAAAGCGTCGCTGAAAAAGTTTAGCAATAAGGTACTGTATTGCTTTGCATGATGATGGATTTAGCAACATTTACAAAGTTACTGTTAACTAAGGTTGGGATTCACGTTAATTTTGATTGCATTTCTAAAATTCAGGAAACCAATGTGGAAATTGGGGAGTCAGTCCGAGGAGAAGACGTTTACATTATTCAATCAGGAGCCGGTGAAATCAACGACAATTTAATGGTGATTGTTCAGTATTAACTACCCCCCCCCACCTATCGATCCTTTAGCACGATGCCCTGAAAATTGACAGGGCTCAAAATAAAATAGCTTGTTTCAGGAATTACTAATTATGATAAACGCTTGCAAAATCGCGTCATCGTGTCGTGTAGCGGCTGTGATTCCATGTTTTCCGTACGCTCGCCAAGACAAGAAGGATAAGTCACGGGCACCGATATCGGCAAAATTGGTATTTATCAAATATCATTGTTCTTTTTAAAGGCATAAGGCACGGTAAGTTGGTACTCGGTGTAAAATGGTGGACGGTGTGGGAAGGTGCGAGTTATTTCAGACGCGGAAAATGGCGAACAAAGGAGAAGTGGATCAAGCCAAGAATCTCAATAAGGATCTTTGTTTTGGACTCAGAAGGCAATTTTTGAGCGAGTTTCCGTTTATATCATGGGCCAATCGAACCGCTACGACTAGATACCGTACTGCATGTGTAGCATCATTATCGCATAGTCAGCGCAGCAGGATCGTTCATATCCATTCTTTGCTTTGTACTAGGGCCACAATGAAGGCGGGCAGAGGCATCGAGCATAAGGTCGGACCATTTAAAAGCTGGGCAAACGGCGCGTGGGCCGTCGAGAGGTCAGTACTATCTGAAGTTTACGATAGAGCGCGCCTGATAAGGGTTTTTTGCCGCCTGAAGAACGCAAGTAGCGCCTGCTCAGAGAGAAGACGCCCCCTGCTAGATGTAATTATCCTTCACATTTTGAGGTTTTGTGACCAGAGCAGCTATCTAAATTATCTATCGAATGAGGCTTCATGCTTTAGATCACGGGCTAAATGAAATGGGCTCAGTGAATGGGTCCTTTTGAGAATACTTTCGAAAAATACGTCCTTTTGGCTTGTGGAAAAGCAACATTCAGTTAATATCTGTCAGCCTGTCGGGCCATATGAACCAGGGTTGAAGGATTATTCTTTAAGGGTCTAGGGCAAAAAGTTTCGAAGTGGATAAACCAATTTGTGCAGAAAGTACTTCCAAAAAGCTCTTCGTATCATTTTCTCGCTCCCCCTTTATCTCTGTTTTACAAAATGCCTTCTGTAGCCGTACTATGCAGAGGTTACTTTATAATTATTATTCAAAAAAGTGTGTAATTGAAACCTGGACATTGCTCCGCATTTTAGGTTGCCAATATGCTATCCGTTGCTGGAGCTGATCACATCATCACAATGGATCTTCATGCCTCTCAAATTCAGGTTTATTTTATTAAGAGTTTAATTGTTTGAAATTTAATTTTTTTTGTACCATTTAAAACGTTTCAGGGCTTTTTCGATATACCTGTTGATAATTTGTATGCTGAGCCAGCTATCCTCAAATACATCAAGGAGTCGATTCCTAACTGGCAAACTTCAGTCATCGTATCTCCGGACGCTGGAGGAGCAAAAAGGTAGCTTGTCTCTTTTGTCTTTGGATCTACCTTTTTTTAGTCCTTCGAAAGAGAATTTTGATAACTGAATGCTGTGCAGATCAGAAAAAACTCCACTTGATACTTTAAGAGTAACCTCGATTGCCGATCGCCTCAATGTTGACTTTGCTCTTATCCACAAGGAACGGAAGCGTGCCAATGAAGTTGAGAAGATGACTTTGGTTGGAAATGTTGAAGGCAAGGTGTGTGGTTTGGCTTCTGTTGCTTCCAGAAAAAATACTTTTCTTGCCGAACCAGAATAATAAGACATAAGAATAGCTGTGAACCTTTGAAAAGCCAAGGCGACCGTGGAGTTTTCTTGAAAAAGTTTTCCTATAACCGCAGGTCATGTCTTTTGGAGGCAGTACTTTGCTACAAGTGTAGTTCATCTTGCTGTCTGGCTGACAAGAGGGGGTAGTCGTGCAATTGGACGTGACGTAACTAACGTCATTCCTAATTCCCGATGCTACTAGGCCACAACTTCTTGTCTTTCTTTTTCGGAGTAGTCGAAAACATCACGATTACTGGAGAATTGGCTCGAGTTTTGCCTTTTTTACATTCCTAGCATTTTAGCGCAAGCAAATTGGAGTGAGTATTACATACTTCTAGAGGAAGTTAGAGAACGTGAATACAAAAACTGATACTAGGAAACAAATATTCTGCCGTAGAGTTACTGAAGCTATGGTGGTAGCATTTACCGGGGAGAATTTTCAGTTCAATAGGGAATCCTTCATAATTAAGAGGAAACTTCTGATCTGCTTATCACAAACTCCATTGATATTGATAACAGTCAATACTGTTTGAAATGAAGGACCGGTCGTAGTAAAAGGATGAGCTCTCTCTTACAGTGCGGAATTTTAACCCGTAGCTAGCTCAAGAATGCTGAGCCATGAGCAAAACATTTAACCCCAAGCGGAATTTGATCCCGCGGTCCACGCTTTCCGGGGATGTGGCTATCCCTTACGCTACCAAGGCCAATCCTACCCTCCCAGCTTACAGTCTCTTATCGTAGCCTTACAGCACATACTCGTTTAACATGGTGAGCCTCAGCCATAACGTTAGGTATCAGCACTGAGGCCGCGAGCCTGATTGCTTTACAAGTTTTTGAAGGTAACTGTGGAGTTAAACAGCAGTTATTACACTAAAGCAACTTCAAAAAACATGTGAAGCTTTGGGCCGCGCGGCTCGCTGTCGATACCTAACGATAAGACTAGTCCAGCATGTTAAACATGGTCGTAAACTCTTCGGCATAAAAGCCATCAAACTCTGAGGGTGAAACCGGCCATGGTAACGTAACAGACAGCGCATTCATATTTAAAGCGTGAGTTGCGCGTTCACGTCTCACCGAGGGTCAGTACTTTAGCCCATAACTCAGCATTCTGTAAATACGCGAATCGCGGATATCATGTAGTTGTAGGTGCTTTTTCAGGTTGCCTTGCTTGTTGATGATATGGCAGACACATGTGGCACAATATGCATGGCAGCAGACAAGTAGTGACTCTATTTTTGTCATTTTTGGCGAACCATTTCGAGGGTTTTTGTTCAGACTTGTCGAAGCAGGCGCTGAAAAAGTATACGCTTTCTGCGTTCATGGAATATTTTCGGGACCCGCTCTGCAGCGTCTCAACAACTCGAAATTCGAAGCAATCGTGGTCACGAATACCATACCACAAGACGAAAATATGAAGCAATGTCCAAAAATTCAGGTTGGTGGTGTTGTGGGAGTTTTTTTGGAATGTATGAGTGAAGAAGTGAAGACAGCACAGGGAGCTCAAGAGCTCTACTCGTTTCCATTTCAACGAATGGTAGCGAATTGTTTGGGTGCCTTTCGCGATTTCCTAGTTTTCACTGTCCAAAAGCTCATTCTTTTAATTTCCTAACGTTTTTTTTTCTTCGCTGAAGAACTGATTTCCAGTGCATTGACATCTCGATGATTCTCGCGGAAGCAATTCGACGAACACACAATGGCGAGTCCGTGTCGTATTTGTTCTCTCATGTTCCCATTTGTTAGACGTCGATGTTCATGTCTGTCAAGGACTTAACGTCCCAAGTTCTAACCAAACATCGTGCATTACTGTTAGATCAAAAACTGATAACTAGATTGGCTGATTAGCTGTGAATACTTACGGGAGTGTTTTCGTATTATGCACTTTTACTTCTATATTGACTGCAGTAATTGATTATTGATCACCCGATTCAACAAAGCACGACAAGCTTTTCTTTTTGTGAAGAATGTTTACCAAGTTCTCTATCTACCAAACACTTGATTGGACTCAAGGGGGCAAACATTCTGATGGTTGAGGGAGTCGCAGTTGCGGCCTTGCAAAAAATTGCGTCGCGCGCAGTAACCACGCCCTCCGTGACCACGCCTCCTTTCACCACTAGAAACAAGTAATGATAAATGCAGTGACTGTGTTTCTGTGACGTGCCATGTTAAGTATAAACTCAAATCTGTATGGGTGATCTTGTAGGTAGATTTGTTGTGTGACTGTGTAGATCACAGATTGTTGTCTCTCGTTTTAGCATATCCACAATGAATACACGCACAAAAATATGATATGTTGTTTATTGATTTACTGTATTACGCGTATCGCGTTTAATAATAAAAATGGAGTGGTGTTGTTAGAAATTTCCTTCGAGTTGGTTATGGTTTGGCAATTATTTTCCAGGTTATAAAAACCCTCAGAAATGTGCATAATATGTAGAAAGTTTAGTAAGAAGTTTTCGAACCAGGAAGTGAGCTTAGGAACTTCTAAATAGTTCTCGAGATGCTGAAATGATGATTTACATAGAACTTTCATTATTGTATCTGAATATTTTAAGTATTTCAATAAACATCGTATCAAAAGGCTCACTTTTTTCACCATGCTGTTTGCACAGTTTTGATGTTTCAAAGAGAAGCATCCCCACTATGGATTCTGTTTTTCAATTTGACAAAAAATATTCGGTACGCTTGGACATGCTGTCCTACAAAAATTGACGGTTTCCTGAGGTAGTAGGTTTACTCGGATCAAGTACACATAAGCATGCTCTTCTTGAAAACTTGACGCTTTCCCGGAGGAATAGGTAAAGACAGTGTAGAGGAAAATGCTCCCCTAAAAAATTATTTCTCTCATTATTCTTCCCTTTCATTGCATGGGATGACGTAGCAAGAGGAAAGAAGTTCCGTTACGGAAACGCGAGGAGGCGGTGCAGGCGGTACGATACCTTCACGTTGCATCAAAAGAAACGTTGCAAGACGTCGTCTGCAGTGAATTTTCTCCAGGATCTAAATGTGAAGTGGCACTGCAATTTGTGGAAAAATCTGGCTGAGAGCTCCAACAGTGAAGCATAGGTTGATCACCGGAAGAACTACGACAAAATGGAAAGGAAAAGTAGGCGGAAATCAAAAAAATGGAATCGCTCTTACCCTTCATTCAAAATTGTCAAGAAGCTGAAGAGGGACTCATTGATCCACATGCTAGTGAGGTGGTGTTGTTCAGACAATGAAGCAATTCGAAAGACCCTACTGTAGTGGTTGGCAGTTGCGGGCGTGGCGCTTCGTAGCACCCTTCAGCGGCGCTGGACGCTTCTGATTCTTCTGGAAAGTTGGATGGAAATGTGCACAGTATTGCGCAGAATAATCATCATGACCACTCTCACCACCATACGTACATAAATAACAAAATTGATTCCAAAAATTATCTGTAATGGCTCTTTTTGATTTTGCTGTTCTCTGCCATATCAAAGATTTGACTTTTTTAGGTCAGTTTATCCATGCTTTCGAAGGCATACGGCACGATTATTTGGGGCTCAGTCTAAAATACTAGCAGGGTGCTATAGTGGGAGAGCGGCGAAAAAAGGAAGTCCAACGGTCAAATCGCGAAGGAAAGATTTGCTAGCATTTCAAGACTCAGAGAGCAATTTCGGCGAGTTTCCCGTTGGCATCCTGCCAATAACCGCTAGGGTAGATACGGCTGCACGTATGTACGCATATATCCATGCAGCAACGCGGCCGCTTCTGGGCGTCCTGGTCGGTATGTTGCAGCTTGATAGGGCCTTATAAGAGTACCTTCCTCGGAAAGGGGACTACGCAGCGCCTGCTCAGAGGCTGGAATTGCGTCCTGCCAGGCGTACTAATCCAACTCTCAGGGATTTATGCCAACTGCCTTCAACTCGTCGCTAACCGTTGCTCCTTTTGGCAATAAACTTTCCTTATAGGTGAATGTCCCCCCACAAATCCTATCCGCAGCCTCAACGTGGCGTGGGGGTGAACGGTTTGGACTGTTCCAACACCGTACCAATGCGGAGGGTGCCACGTCAGAGCCTGGCGAGCTACGCGTGGTCAAATTTCTTCACGCCGAAAACAGTAATAATTATGGGCCTCATTCCCCTGAACCTGAGGGAACCACCGACAGGGCGACGTCGGCTGGGACCGCTCGGGCGAGCTGCAAGAATCACAGGGCCAACGGAGATTTAAGTCGCAGTACCTGGATCGATCGTACTTCGACGTTCAGGCACGGACGCTTGCATCGGAAGCTCACATCGAAGATCTGATGTTGCAAGCCAGGAAGATCAAGTACGACGTCATCGGACTGACCGAGACGAGGAGGCATCGCCCGCTACACGCCGTATACGAGACTGGAGAAGAACTGTTCCTCGGAACATGCGACAGAGGCGTTGGCGGTGTGGGCGTCCTCGTCAACACGCACTTGGCCATGAACATCGATTCGTACGAAAATGACGACCCGAATCGGACGTTTGCGATTGAGAAGATGTGGTTCAACTCCAGCTTTGACAATCTTCGTCGCCTACGCACCAACATCAAGCTACGACGAGGATGAGCTCGAAGCGTTCTATATGGAATTGGAGAAGTTCTACAAGGAAGATCATACCTTCTTCAAGGTCATCGTCGGTGATTTCAACGCTAAGATCGGACTAAGAAGAACGGCTGAAGAACTTCACTTCGATTACGACCGCTGGACCAGAACGATCACCGACTGGATCCCACGGGATGTCAAGCGAACGCCTGGACGACCGCCTATGCGATGGTCAGACTTCTTCGTGAACGAATGGTATGAAGTTCATCGTGTCCCTCGAGCAGAGAGAGAGAGAGTCCATTGGGCAACTCTTGCACGTTGCAGGGACGAATGGAGACGTTACTGGCGCCCGCTCGAGGAACTCGATGATCAAGGACCACAGGTGACAGATGATAGGTGACTGTGTGTAATGTGCACGGTGTAAGAATTGAGGGCAAAAAACCTGACCACAAAATTAGACCCGTTCTCTTGAAAGAGGTCGTGCACGGCCCAGTCCCCTTTTTTCGTTTTTTTTTCATACTTTCACGTTGAACGGGAACGCTTTTCTTGGCCCTCCGGGAGCTACCACAGCGCTACTCCCCGCTGATCTGGCGAGCATGATCATCCACCTTCTTCATTTCCCATTTAGTCATATACCACTCTCTTGTCGAGCATTCCTTGGCCCATGGGTTTCCTTGTAGATGAAATGGGGTACCAATAGAGTACTTATTGTTCCGGCCACACACAGTCTCGTTGCTGCAAGTGTTGGACGCGTCAGGGGGAGCTGGATTGGGGCGGTACTAGCCTGTTCTCTGCCAGCTGCTGGAACGGATAAACGATAAAATTGGGGGAACAGGCTGGCGCCTTGTCAAAACCCAGTCCCTTTGAAACGAGTAAGCACCTCAGCGATTTTTAATGGAAGCCGAGCACATAGCGCACAAAAAACGAGTTGATGAATGTGAACTACTGAAAGACGGACTTTACCTACGGCTCTTGGGCTCTTCTTACCGCCCTCGAGGTTCATGGATTTGGATCCCCTTCTTCTCCTGATCGTCAGTCAGGAGGTGGAGAGATTCACAATAGAACGCTTAAATGAGAAAGCCATTCCCGAAATGTCAAAAGGGATGAGAAAGGTTTATAGTTCAAGTCTCTGAGGTGAAAAAGTTGAGCCTTTCTCGAGTTTGCAGTTACACTCGTATTCGTGAAGCCCAAACATTTGTTGCTACAAAACCTATTTACCAGGCACAGTGAACTCTTGCAATTAGGTCACAGTGCAATATTCATATATTGAGAATATTAAAAAACTATTTTCTAGCCATCCCCAGTTCGGCGCTCAACAACACAGTAAAGTTTCATATTCCGGTGCATTCCTCTTGAGAAGCTCCTAGAATATTTCGGCATTCATCAATCCCTTTTTGGGATGCGCCACGTATTGTGACTTCACTCGGAATCAATGATCATTTTTGAGTGCAACTAGGTAAACAAACGACTGGGGAAGGCTGTGCTATGTACCATTCTGACCAGACAAGTACTGGCACAAAATAAATGACCCGAAGGGATGGAAGCTCAGATGGTTTGGACGGGATTTGATTCTGGGACCGACCCCCGGATTATGCGTGTGGTGGGCGGTGTGGCATGACGCGGCATCGTATCCACACACATGGCCCTAATACATGAGAAAAAACACACGGAAAACTCCGAGAAAGGTCCCCTACTCAACCCCTAAAATCAATAATTATACCAATGCGCGGCGATCGGCGGGGACCCGCATGTTCCGGCTGTATTTGGGGGATTTGATCTACTTGATCAATCCAGGGATTTATCTACCTGATCCATCCAGGCGGTGCCTTATTATAGCTGTTCAGTCCCAACCATTGACACGGTGTAATTTCTTTCAAAACTGCCATTCTATTTCTCGGGGATGACCCGGTCACAATTATGTGTGTCCCCTTTCTGGCCCTTTATCCCTGATGGCGGTTGGCCTGTTCTGCCCAATTTCAAAATTCTTTCCTTTAGGCCTTTACACATTGTTCACAATGGCATATGGTCCCTAAAGCCCTTTGACCCGTGAAACTCTGAGCTGAAAACTCATATAAAAGCGCCGCTCAAGCTCTAGGCTCAGAGTGCCGGTGAGTTCCACAGTAAGAGTTGGTTTAGGTCTGTTACGATTTCGTTCCTAGATTTCCTACCCTTGATTTCCTTTGTAAGTGATTTTGGTTTTTGGGTGAAGTGTCTCGATAATGTGCTTCCGACTTTACAGGACTCCGAAGAAGGCGATTTTCGCCGAAAGTCAGTCTATTAGGTTGTCCGGAAAGTTCTTAGCGTTTTGTGCACCTAATCTTTGTACATTCACTGCTGATTAAAAACTCATTCTGCCTTGCTTCTCAGTAGCACATCCTGTAGAGAATTTCTTGCGCTATCTGATGGTATAATTGCCGTTTCACCATTGCTTGATAAACCCCTTTTTCAAGATTTTTTCAAGCATGTGAAAAGAGCACTTCGGACGATTTTTTTCTTCGGCTATAAATTGGGGCAATCCGCAATCGAAACAGCTCAACAAATTAACCAGGTGTGGGGCCCAATAGTGCTAAGAAAGCACTGTGCGGCAATGGCTCAATAATTTCGCTCTTGCGAAGATTTCAGCCTGAAGGTGAGCCTCATTAGCGAGCTCGGCCTAAAGCATATCTGACGAGGATTTTAGGGGGATTTTGAAGGTTGACCCAGTTCGAGAGATAGCAGAAGAGCTAGGCGTTGGCAAATCCACTGTTGCAGATGGTCTGGAACGCATTGGGAAGGTGAAAAAACTCGACAATTGGGTGCCCCACAATCGGAGTGACCGGCAGGAATCGGCACGTCTCGAGGTTCCTTCTTCACTGCTTTTGCGCAAAAGAATTGACCCGTTTTTGAACGGATTTGTCACCTGTGATGAAAAATGGATCATGTATGATAACAGGAGACGTTCCGGACAGTGGTTGGATTTGGAGGAACCACCGAGGTAATTTTCAAAGCCGAACCCTCGCGAAAAAAAAAAAAATTCTGGTCAGGTTTGGTGGTCATCGGCTGTTGTAATCCACTATAACTTTTCATCACCAGGCCAAACCATCACAGCAGAACCCTACTGTGAACAAACCGACCAAATGTACCGAAAATATTGTCAGCTGCAGCCAACACTTATCAAAAGAAAGGGTCCGATTCTTTTGCATGACAACGCCCGCCCACACGTTTCACAAATCACTATCCATAAATGAACGAATTGGGAGTTGAAGTTCTACCTCACCCACCATATTCTCTAGACCTTTCACCAACCGACTGTCACCTTTTCAGACATTTTCAGAACTTCCTTGCTGAAAAATACTTCATCAATTAAGACCAGGCAAAAAAGACCTTCGCAGATTTCGTGGATTCTCGACCACCCAGTTTTTTTTGATGGGATTTCTCGACTGCTGCCACATTGGCAAAAGTGTGCTGTGTGATCGAATGGTGCTTATTTGGATTAAATCCGATGAGTGTTAAGAAAGTTATGATCGTTTAAAGTTAAACACCCAAAACGCTAAGAACTTTCCGGACAACCTAATATAAACGTGTTACCAATCTCGGAAGGCTAAACGATCAAGCTACTGTACTATATACTACATATATGCCGAGATTAATTGAAAGCCGTTCATGGAATATTCTGAGAAAAGC